TACTAGCTTACCCGTCGCGCATTGCTGCGATCTCAGAAGAAAGGAAATTCAAGCAAACTCGTTATGATAAAATTCAATTTACATTTTATCATTTTTATTGAAACTTATTATTATTATTCATTTTCATCGGGAAAACATTTCAAAGTGTCGTTTCAATTCTATTTATTTATTGGAGTGTTTGTGGATACACGATATTTTTTGTTTTTCCGTCTGGTGCGTACACGAATAAATCAGAAGATTTTCCGACGCGTGAGCCGGCCACATTCAGTTGTCCATGCGAGAAGCACGGATTCTCCTAATTTAGCTCACACACTGGCAGCGATTGTCAGAAGTGCGATATTCCTCATTTATATATATATATTTTTTTAATCCTTTATAATTTTGATTATTTAATTGCTCCTTCCTCTCTTCCTTGGCGTGTTGTGAAATTTCTCATAGTTGGATAATAAACCGTTTTATTGTAACTTGTCTTTTTAAATTATTTTGAGTTGATATTAAAATTTGGAAAAGAAGGATCCCTAGATCGGTAAAATAGGCGAATTTCCTTCTAGAACTTCGGTTGTTGTTCGGGATACAGTTAAGGTTTCAACAAAGTTCGAGCGATTACGTAATTAGCAAAAAAAAGTTGAAATAAAGTGATTAAACAAAAATTATTACAAATATCGTAAATAATAAATGCATATATACAGATATTTTTTGGAGGGGGGAAATGGTCTTCACAATTTGAAATCGATCGAACACAGTGCTCGAATGCGCGTATAAACGGCGTTATCTATCGTAGGATAAATATACTGCGCCAAAAATCTTCGCGGGAGTGTATTAAAAAACTTCCCAAAGCTTCATGGCAATCGGATAAACGGTGTGGTAATGCATGAAGGACAGACAGACATACATTCATTTTTATATATATAGATTTAAATATTTATACTAGAGAGGTGGTGCAGTCACGTGATATAACGTCATCGCTCCGCCCACCAAAACAATCGTCCGCCATATTGGTTGCTGATTTGACGTTACCGTGCTCGTTCGCTTATTATGTAAACGTGGAAGAAGGGCATCTTACCTGGCTATGCAGCCGATTTAAAAATTACTACGAATAAAATTCGATTAATGGTCATTAGTTTTTTGTTTGGGCTAAGTTTTCTGGTAACCGCTTAATTTGTAAATTAATAACGCGGTTAGCAGAAAAAAGCAAGTTATTTTAAACTGCATAATTAATGCACTAGAGAAATTTAATAACTGCCATTACCATTACATTAAATGTAACACATCGATGTAAAAATACGTGAAGATAGTAGTTTGGTATAAAAAAACGCGTCAAAATTTGAATTAAAACAAATAGTCGCAATATTTTCGAAACTTTTTTTAATACGGAAAAATAAAAAATGATCGGGAAAAACATAATGCTTTTACAAATAATTTAATGTTTCTGTGATTCTATTTGACCTTTACCAAACTCCTTAATGTTAACATTTTGCAATGTACAGCAACTGGAATAATTATTCGGTGCATTATTTTGTAACTTCAGAAATCAAATCTGCCCAATACAGGTAATACGGTACTACTCCCGCGTTAGGCTAATACGTTTTCTAATTTCATTTGAATTCAGATCAAACTTCAAAATAGACTAGAAACATTATCCAAATAAGTTTACAACAGCAAACGGTCAATTATTTATAAGTTTCTATTATTATAATTTACTAGTGAAAAATAAATAAGTTTGAATTACATTACTAAGATTTTAAAATAAACGAAACTCTTCACTTCGGAAATCTAAAGAATAAATTTTAAACGTTTTCGATTTGCCTGCCTTTAATTCTAAACACGAAAAAATAAACGGTTGTAACGAAACGATAAAAATTTAAAAAGAACTTCAGCGGAAAAAACAATTTCATTTACTGTACTGAAAACAAAGCCAGCCCGTGCTTAAGATGAAAATGCCAAACAGATTGTTGTTTGCACTTTTGAAATAAAGTTCTGTTAAAGCTGAATTATTTATTAAACGATGTTAAATTATAAAAGTTAGGCTAAATAATAATGTAATTTTAAAAAATCAACTTTTATGACGTTAAAACTAATATTTTTAGAATAAACAGATCTAAAATACAATTTATTCCCGTATAAAAAATTATTAAAGTCCAAAAATCATCTTTGAAAATTAAATATAATATACTTAACAGCTTGCACCATGGTTAAATATCTCATACGAGAATAATTAATATTAATTATTAATATTTCGTTGTTCATAAGCAAGTAGTTTAATAAATTTCATTTCTGGATGAGGACTCTAAGCTCTGATAGGTGGATAAGCTGTAATCTAGAGCATCTCTGACAAGTGGAACAAAAATATCAGCTTGACCAGCAAGAATCCAGAATTGGAATGTGAATAGCTGAATGTTTTGTTGGCCAAACCTTTCAGTATCCTAACTCAAGAAATCATTGATAAATGATCATCCACATCAAATTCATCTTATCATCCTTCGGTTTGATGGGATAAGACAATGCAACATAAGGGCAATCTGTGAAGAGATATGCCTTCTGGAATGCCTTTCTTTGGGGAAATTGGTTCTTTTTAAATTATTACACGTAAAAAATCCCAGTAAATTCCACATAGCCAGCTTGTTGATCATGCACAAACTTGTGATAACTACCAATAAAAAGTGGTTTAATCCACTTGGCCACTGATGAGCAAAACAAAAAAAAAGGATTTTAGAGCCTGTAGTAACTCTATATAAATTTCATATTCATATAACTGAGTATTTTAAACACTGAGTAAATGAGGCAAATGTACCAAGGACAATAGTTTAAATAAGTTCCACAATACAATACAAATCCAGTCCATAATACAAAGTCCCAAGAGCTCTAGGAGTCCTGCTCTACTTGATGTTTTAAAAATTGTGTCATTTTTTAAATATTCAACGTTACTATCATATAAAGAAAGCTTTTCATGTAATATAGACAAAGACTTTAAAATTTATGATTTTCATTTCTCTTAAATTGGTGAGGCACCAAAAATTTTTGCAGGATGTCAAAATTATAGATACAGAGTATGTCATTAACAGTTAGATTACATTTAAAAAATGAAATCATTGTAACAACCTGCAAAGTTAATGCTATTTCTTTGGACATCTCCAAATTTTTCTGTAAAATGACAACCTAAAGCCAAATGCCATTTTGAACAGCAATGCAAAGACATCACTTTATAATTCTAAACAAATTTTTAAAGTAAATACACAGTATATCCTATAGGACTGTAGATGCTTCGTATTTTAAACGTGCAAATTAACAAAAGATTATAGACAGATTACAAATTTCATTTATTTAGTTTTCTGCAACCTGCAATCTTTTAACTTGTTCAGATTAAAGCAACTGTATTTTGTGTGTGCCAAATCAAGTTACTTTTCATGTTCTGCCAATTTCGGATATTGTATTTCTTCAGCTTTATACTGCTTTGCTTTGCACTCTACAATCTACTCAAGTGCAAGTCAACAAGTGTAAGGTATTCACACAAAAGATACTCAGAAGCCAAAAGGATAACCAATTTTTTTTTCTTAAGTATCTATTTCATCTTTATTAAGACATTTAATTTTTAACCATCATTGGCCAATAATCCTGATACTTGCCAGTTTATATTATTATTACATTTTGAGATATATAAGATACTACAAAAACCAAATTGTGACAATTGTAAATTCAAATTGTCTCATGATTCTTCTCAATATAGCTATTGTTCAACAGATGATGTGCTGAGCACTGCATCCTCTGCTTGAACACATCTGTTGCACAATAATTCACTGATGAGTGAATTTTTCACATAAGATCTACATGCTATATGAATGGTTTATACAGTTTCTCATACAAGATCCCAGTACAGGAAGCATCAAAATTACATTTTACCAGAAGCATTGTCTTTAGCATTGCAGTAATAAATAGAGTTTTTTCACTTATCCATATAATATTAACTTGAGAGAAACATTCAGTGGATTTGTTAGTTCTAAAGAGACAGATGAAGTTGCCAGAAAGCAGTTTCAGAGGCATCATTCAAGGTGTATTGGGGTATTGTATTGGACTATTGGCTGACTTATAATGTACTAAGTGCAAAAGCAATTCTGTCTTGTGACAGACTGTTCAATCAGCTGTCAATGAATCCTATTCTTGCTATACAGTAATATACTAGCATCGTCCAGTCAGCAAATTGAAAACATCAAAGCATCCTACCTTCATGACAGACATTCATTGCATCATGCCCCTAGAGCAGGACTTTTATGCATCCTGCTAAGCATATGGTGGACAGTGGGACTGTCCCACCTAAATCAAGTCATAGGACTATGCTAGTTCAGAATATGATTGAATGAAATCAACAACTAGTATATAAGAGTATTATGCTGAAATTTATCAAATAACTTTCTTATGCAACAGTTGATCCAAAATTGCACAATTGCAGAAACTATTATAAAAAAATTATCTAATTTACTTATGAAATGTATTTTCATGAGTAGTTTCTCAGAAATAAACATAGCAATGTTACCTTTGTTGACTATTCCCAAAATTTGTTTGTAGATGACCTTAAAATTAGTTATGCCAATGCAGTCAACCCATTTTCTTCCAATATTCTTATATATAACTTTTTGCTGTAGATCTCTTAAAGAAAAAAAACTGTATTCAGTATTATCTGCATACTATATATAGTTTTGGAAAGCTACAGCAGAAAGACCATTCACTAAGCTGAAGATGATTAAAAGCTATACATGAAATAGATAAAACAGCAAAAGCTGATAGACATTTCTATACTAGTTATCAAAAATACAACAGTTCAACAGTTCCCACTCCAGGCCAATTCTGTTCTTCCATAATGTTCTAAATTAGTTAATAAAATATTAAATTAGTATAATTATTAATTTTGATAAGAGACAGCACCTAATGTCTACCTCTAGTACCAAATTACTTAGTTTCTAATTATTAACTGTAGCAAAAGAAATAGTCCAATTAATAAGTGAACATTTGGTTTGATATTAATACATTGGGCTTTGGGATGTTTATATATACATAGTCTTGCCCTTTATTGATTTTAATTAGGTCACTGAAATTTGAATATTGAAAGGTTTGTTTGCAATTTTAAATTGCAGATACAGACAAATACCCCTCACATAATTCTGATTCTTAGTTTTTAGTCAAAAATAATTTTTAGACTTTAATTTCAATATACACAATTTAAATTTAACTACAAAAACAAAAACTGTTCAATAATAATTAAATTAGTTTTTACTTAATAATAATATAAACAAAATTTAATATAATTACCAGTTAAGATGATTTCGGTAAGATTAGGACAGGATCCAAAAGTTCCATTTTCAATACTTTCCAATTTATTATTTTCTAGATTGACTGATTCTAATGATTTCAGATGTTTTGTAAGCTGGCACTTTAATTTGGAAAGATTGTTATTTTCAAGATCCAATATTTTCAAATTTGTCAAATTGTAAAATGCAGTTTCATCAATATAACTTAACTGACAGTTGCTTAGATCAAGTTCATTTAGTTTATGAAAATATGAAAATGCAAACTCTGAAATATTCTTAATCAGGTTATCATTCAAATGCAAACTTATTAAGTTTGGTAGATCTTTCAATGCACCAGCAATAAATGATTCATTTAGGAAGCAATTTGACAGATGAAATGATTGTAAAGAAGTTGATGTAATCTTAATATTATTAAATGATATTAATTCATTCTTATCCACTATAAGATTTCTAAGAGCAATCATGTGATCTAATAAACTTTCAGATAAAATCTTTAATTTATTATTTGATAAAATTAAACTGGTTAAATTATTTAAATTTTCAAACATATCTTTGTTAACAGATGATAATTTGTTATCTTCTAAATGAAGTATTTGTAATTTTTTCAAAGACAAAAATGAACCTTTTTCAATTGAAGAAATAATATTCTTGCTTAGATCTAAGTAATTTAAGTTAACATTATGAAAAAAGTCAACAACATTTATTGTTTTTATAAAATTTTCTGAAATAATTAATGTTTGCAATTGCTTAAGATGACGAAGACCCTTTGAAGGAATGCTTCTAAAATTATTACTTTTAACATTGAGATAGATGAGATTATTCTCTAAATTTTTTAGAGCATCTTCTGAAATAGCTTGTAAATTTGAGTTTTGTATTATTAAGTTTTGAATATTAAACTGCTTAAAAGTTGTATCTTTAGTATTTAAATTTAGATTTGGCAATGATATGTTCACTATATTTTCTGAAACATTTGATGTAACTAGAATTCTGTCGACAGCAGAAAACATTTCAGTACTGCTTGCATTTGTACTGATGCATTCAATTTTTTTTTTGCAAGAACAAATAATTGTATTAATTACATCGGAACAGTTTAAAGATTGTGCGGTTGAAAATAAACAGGCAACAAATACTAAAACTAATAACTTACTTGCAAAATTAAGTTTTACCATCATTTTCAAATTAGTTGAAACTACAGTATAAAAAGATTATTATTTCATAAACAAAAACAATCTTAAATTAATTTTTAAAAGTTTTTTTAAAAGTTAAATCATCTGAAGAGTGCAACTATAAAGTACAACTGTCAGACATATCTAGACAAAACAGTCAGTAAAAAAAGGAAGGGAGTGACATTTCCACTGCTGTTACCATATCCTGTGAGTAAAATCTTGCCAGAAAACTATCAAAATAAGGAAAACACACTAAAGAGATAATATTGATTTTAAAATATATTTAATATATTTTACTATAAACTATTAAGAAAATATTCTTTGAAAAAATCTTTTCAAAATAATTTGTTTTACAATTTCCAGGGTTCCTACTCAAATTTTTGTTTTAATTTCCATGACTTCCCTGACCAACTTTGTGCAAATCCTCTGATCCTTTGTGCAAATTCCTTACAGTATGGCACATTGGCAAAATAAAACAGCATTTGACTTACTATGCACATATGTTTTGCTCCTCCAATATTTTAATTAGTTATTTTTTCTAATTAACATTTATATAATTTTTTTATAATTGGCAAATTATTAAAATTAAAAATAAAACGTATTATTACAATTCAGTTATTAATCCAAAACCATAAATCTACATGGCTTTGAAAAAAAGAAATTTATTATTCATTAACAAATTGTATATAATCCATGTACAAAAATATATATTTATTAAATTTATCTCCTAACAAACTTCCTGAACTTTATTAAATATTAATAAACTGAAAAAAAATCAGAAATTGTTTTGCTATGCAATGAAAATTATTAAAATGAAAAATAATAAATACAGTAGAGCGTCGATTATGCGAAAGTCAATTATCCGAAAGAATTCCAGTCGGCAAATTTAAATTTTCGCCAGTACTGTGGCGCTGCAATCTTTGGCTATGTCTTGGGCTACTCAAATATTTTACGTTTTTGATACTAAATTAACTTCTGAAATATAATTTTTTATTGTTTTTATATTTTTCAAGATATTTTTGATTGTACAAAATAAAAAAATAATTTTTAACGATACAAGTCTTCGTTAGGCTTAACATCGACGAAAATTTAATGCGAAGCGACACGCAACGGAGAAAAATTTCAACATGGGATAGGTTAATATATTTTTCGTACCCAATCGGTTATTCGAAATATCGATTTTTTCCGAACAATCCCAGTCCCAATTGATTCGGATAATCGACGCTCTACTGTAATACCATTTAAACTATTTATCATTTTGTGTACTTTGTAAATTTTTGGAAAAATTTTGCATAAGCTTAGGAGAAATTTTGGGTCATGAAAATATTCTGTACCCCTTTTCATAAGTTGTATTGCACCACATTAATTCTTGCTGCCTGCAGATGGCTACATTTAGTCAAGCATATTGTCAGCAAAAAATCGACAAGGCAGCCAAGGAAGCAAATTCCTTGACTTTTTGACAATTTTTAACTGATATTCAAGCATCAACAGACAAAAATCTTTATAATGCAGCCTTTTATTTCAAAAAGTTCCAGAACAAATATTGGTTTTGAAATCAGAATCATTCAATTGTTCTGTTCCTGACGAAGGCCTTTTAAATTCCCTGACTTTTTCTGAATACTAATGAAAATCCCTGACTTTCCAGGTGTGTAGGAATCCTGAAATTCAATTTTACATTTATTCTCAAATGATTATATTGTTATATAAAATTACAGAATAAAACCTGTATAGTGCTTCTAAAATTAAATTCTTTGGAATTTTAATAGGTAAAGAAAGTTTTGCTTCATTTTATATTGAAAGAAAAACAATTCATAATTCTTATTTAACTGATAAAAATTTATGTAAAGTTCATAATGTATAGTCATTTCACTTTATGGTTAAATATTTTCATTGTTTTATATGTTACTTCAATATATGTAAATTGCAGACAAAAGATTTAAATTAATATATTAATTTCACAAATAAAATCAATCCTATTCAAGTTAAAAAATTTAGGCCTATTATCAAATATAGAAATTTTGAGGAAGTGAACACAATTAAAAATCTATTAAAAGCTAAATATTAAAAAAAAATCAAAGTGATTTACATCATGTCATTGAAGTTAACAATTATTATATAGGGTGTCACACACAAAAGCAGCCCTACTCACTGGAAATGATACATTTCCAGTGAATAGGGCTGATTTTTGGCAACTTAGGCAAAGGACATTTGTTTTAAATTTTAACATTATTTAAATGTACAGAAACTTAGTGGTTTCCATCTGCACCTATGCATAAATTTGTTCTGACTTAAGTATGCATAATAATGTACAGACTGACCTTATGTAAATTACTGTCAATAGTTTCAATACCAGTACTTTTGAAAATACTTTCCTTCAGTTTACATACAGTTCTGGAATTGGTCTCATACACTTTCCCTTATAAATATCACCTATAAAATTTACATCACTAATGTTTCATCATCTCAGTCAGATCAATTTTAAGTGGGACAGTCATGTGTATTATATAAAACACAGTAAACAGCTGCCTAATTCTTATTATTTAACTGATAAAAATTTATAAAATACAATAATTTTGTAACAAAATTAAGATACTTCATTGCAGATACTCTATATTACTTGAAGAAATTAATAACTTTTGTTATCAGAGATTATAACATTCCTGATAATGCATTGGTGATTTCTAGTGATTAAGGCCCTTAAAATTGAGGCCACCTGTTAATTACCAGTACTGTACATTACCTGTGTGCTCATTACCAGCATTCACAGCTGGCCTCAGACTTTAAGAGCCTCAAAATGACACTAATATTAGGATGATGATGATTTAGAATAAAAAGAATTTATTGTTTCCTTGTTGATTGCTATCTTTTACTCTCTTGTAAACAGTATGACATATACAGTTTTAAACTTCTTTGGTTACACATTGTCAAGACTATCTGACTCATAATCTCTCTCTATCCAT